GCCTGCGCCAGGTGCATTCCTGTAATGATTCTTTAAGTTAATATTAAATACCAAAATGTACTTACATGTCCGGAGTCATCGATCTAAGGAGCATCCTAAGATACTACATAAGTATTTTTAAAGACTATCATTGGCAGTGTACAATATTTTAAAAAATGTGGGCATCACACAACAGAACACTTAAACTGGATCGAAACTATGCCAACCACGCCCCCAAATATTGTAATAAGCCCCCGCCTCTAGCTGGGTGTGGTGTGGGCTAGTCTGTGCTGGGCTTGGTGTGGGCTGGCCCATCTTGGGCTGTTGTGTGCTAGCCTGTGTTAGAGCTGTTGTAGGCTAGCCCGTGTTGTGTGTGTGCGTGTGCGTGCAAGTTGAAAAAACATGTTGACTCACCCTACTTGTAGAGAGACGCCAATGCCATCCTCCTCTTTCATGTTGCCTAAACATTCTATGACTGCCATACAGTACACACTTTTAGTTTTTGCTGTCCTAGGCTACCTGACTAAAATGCTTGCTTGCTAGCCTAACTTCCTTTCATGGGCAATGATGCGCCAGGCCAGCTAGTTAACATTAGCCTACTACATCTAGCTACATGTTGAACTTCCATCCTGTCAGGGCAGGGGCCCAATGTATGAATTTATGGTTTGATCAAAATCCCCGTTATAATTATTGGCCAGTATGTTGAATTAAGTAAAACCACAAGTCCAAATCCCTATCTCCATCCATGGCTAATTTAGGAAAGTGCCGATTTTAGCTAGCTAGCTAGCCACGGGAGGACAACAACACAACGAGATGCAACAATTCACGTTTTTTTCTGTCAATGACGTTTGGCTTCTGATGTGATGTGATTGGTGTGAACCCAAATCCAAACTGGCTTCCCCTGACACTTTTTTGGTGAGCCAGGACCATTCACAGCTGAGCTCAATCAGTTTAGCTCAACGCTGATTGCCTATTATTATTTTTAATTTTTTATCAAAGGAGGCCAAATGTTCGCAGGCGTCCCTTGCATTCAATGCTACGGGCGGCAACAATGTCATACTCTTTTTGACCAGACAGCATCAGATAGATGGGCTACACATACAGAGACAGAGGGGCGCTGTTTCATTCGCTCGGATGCTTTCTCCGGTGAGATACATTCAGCCTCTTGTGAATTGAAGGAAATGTATGAAACACAGAGAGACTAAATATATATATTTTTTTTTTTGGGGGGGGGGGAATCCTGGCTTCCCTTGGCATTCATGAATAAATCTGACTGGCTCGGTGTGGGCTGGCCTGTGTTAGGCTGGTGTGGGCTTGCCTGTCTTGGGCTGGTGTTGGCTAGCCTGTGTTGGGCTGATGTGGGATTGGTGTGGACTAGTCCATGTTGGGCTTGTTGTGGGCTAGCCCGTGTTGGGCTGATGTGGGCCTGGTGTGGGCTAGCCCGTTCCCACCTTGCCCACCGAATACCCACATGGGACCAATGGGGTCATGTTTGCTGGGTACATTTTCTTTTTCTTTGATTTTGCATCGTCATGCTCTCTTTTGCATGGATGATTGTTTCAGACACAGAACAATTAGAACAGAATCAGGAATCACTTTATTCCTTCTATATACACTGAACAAAAATATAAACGCAACATGCAACAATTTCAACGATTTTACTGAGTTACAGCTCAGTCAATTTAAATAAATAAATTAGGCCCTAATCTATGACTTCACATGACTGGGAATACAGATATGCATCTGTTGGTCACAGACACCTTTACAAAAAAGGTAAGGGCGTGGATCAGAAAACCAGTGAGTATCTAGTGTGACCACCATTTGCCTCATGCAGCGCATATCCTTCGAATTGAGTTCATCAGGCTGTTGATTGTGGCCTGTAGAATGTTGTCCCACTCCTCTTCCATGGCTGTGCGAAGTTGCTGGATATTGGCGGGAACTGGAAAAAACTGTTGTACACGTCGATCCAGAGTATCCCAAACATGCTCAATGGGTGACATGTCTGGTGAGTATGCAAGCAATTGGAAGAACTGGGATATTTTCAACTTCCAGGAGTTGTGTACAGATCCTTGCGACATGGGGACATGCATTATCATGCTGAAACATGAGGTGATGGCGGCGGATGAATGGCACGTCAATGGGCCTCAGGATCTCATCACGGTATTTCTGTGCATTCAAATTGCCATTGATAAAATGCAATTGTGTTCGTTGGCCATAGCTTAAAGTACCAGGCAAATGTTTGGACACACCTACTCATTCAAGGGTTTTTCTTTATTTGTACTATTTTCTACATTGTATAATAATAGTGAAGGCATCAAAACTATGAAATAACACATATGGAATCATGTAGTAACCAAAAAAAGTGTTAAACAAATCAAAATATATTTTAGATTTTAGATTCTTCAAAGTAGCCACCCTTTGCCTTGATGACAGCTTTGCACACGCTTAGCATTCTCTCAACCAGCTTCATGAGGTAGTCACCTGGAATGCATTTCAATTAACAGGTGTGCCTTGTTAAAAGTTAATTTGTGGAATTTCTTTCTTTCTTAATGCGTTTGAGCCAATCAGTTGTGTTGTGACAAGGTAGGGGTGGTATACAGAAGATAGCCCTATTTGGTAAAAGACCAAGTCCATATTATGGCAAGAACAGCTCAAATAAGCAAAGAGAAACGACAGTCCATCATTACCTTAAGACATGAAGGTCAGTCAATACGGAACATTTCAAGAACTTTGAAAGTTTCTTCAAGTGCAGTCGCAAAAAGCCATCAAGCGCTATGATGAAATTGGCTCTCATGAGGACCGCCACAGGAAAGGAAGACCCAGCGTTACCTATGCTGCAGAGGACAAGTTCATTAGAGTTACCAGCCTCAGAAATTGTAGCCCAAATAATGCTTCACAGAGTTCAAGTAACAGACACATCTCAACATCAACTGTTCAGAGGAGACTACGTGAATCAGGCCTTCATGGTCGAATTGCTGCAAAGAAACCACTACTAAAGGACACCAACAAGAAGAAGATATTGCTTGGACCAAGAAACATGAGCAATGGACATTAGACCAGTGGAAATCTGTCCTTTGGTCCAAATTTGAGACTTTTGGTTCCAACCGTGTCTTTGTGAGACGCAGAATAGGTGAACGGATGATCTCCACATGTGTGGTTCCCACTGTGAAGCATGGAGCAGGAGGTGTGATAGTGTGGGGGTGCTTTGCTGGTGACACTGTCTGTGATTTATTTAGAATTCATGGCACACTTAACCAGCATGGCTACCACAGCATTCTGTAGTGATACGCCATCCCATCTGGTTTGCGCTTAGTTGGACTATCATTTGTTTTTCAACAGGATAATGACTCAACACACACCTCCAGGCTGTGTAAGGGCTATTTGACCAAGAAGGAGAGTGATGGTGTGCTGCATCAGATGACCTGGCCTCCACAATCCCCCGACCTCAACCAAATTGAGATGGTTTGGGATGAGTCGGTCCGCAGAGTGAAGGAAAAGCTACCAACAAGTGCTCAGCATATGTGGGAACTCCTTCAATACTGTTGGAAAAGCATTCCAGGTGAAGCTGGTTGAGAGAATGCCAAGAGTGTGCAAAGCTGTCATCAAGGCAAAGGGTGGCTACTTGAAGAATCTAAAATCTAAAATATATTTTGATTTGTTAAACACTTTTTTGGTTACTACATGATTCCATATGTGTTATTTCATAGTTTTGATGTCTTCACTATTATTTTACAATGTAGAAAATAGTAAAAATAAAGAAAAACCCTTGAATGAGTAGGTGTGTCCAAACTTTTGACTGGTACTGTATGCCTGCCCATACCATAACCCCAACATGGGGCACTCTGTTTACAACGTTGACATTAGCAAACTGCCCGGTACAGTTGAAACCGGGATTCATCCGTGAAGAGCACACTTCTCCGGCGTGCCAGTGGCCATTGAAGGTGAACATTTGCCCACTGAAGTTGGTTACGATGCCTAATGGCAGTCAGGTCAAGACCTTGGTAAGGACGATGAGCACGCAGATGAGCTTCCCTGAGACGGTTTCTTACAGTTTTTGCAGATTTTTTTTCATCAGCTGTCCGGGTGGCTGGTCTCAGACTATCCCGCAGGTGAACAAGCCGGATGTGGAGGTCCTGGGCTGGCATGGTTACACGTTGTCTGTGGTTGTGATGCCGGTTCAACAAATTCTATAAAACGACATTGGAGGCGGCTTATGGTAGAGAAATTAACTTTAAATTATCTGGCAACAGCTCTAGTGGACATGCCTGCAGTTAAAGTCCCTCAAATCTTGAGACATCTGTTGCATTGTGTTAGGTGACAAAACTGCACATTTTAGAGTGGCCTTTTATTGTCCCCAGCACAAGGTGCACATGTGAAATGATCATGCTGTTTAATCAGCTTCTTGATATGCCACACCTGTCAGGTGGATGGATTATCTTGGCAAAGGAGAAATGCTCACTAATAGGGATGTAAACAAATTTGTGCACAACATTTTAGAGAAATAAGCTTTTTGTGCATATGGTTCTGGGATCTTATTTCAGCTAATGAAACATGGGACCAGCACTATACATGTTGCATGTATATATTTGTTCAGTGTAGAAATTCCAGGGACCCTCAGATTGTAACATTTTATTTTGTACGGCAAGCCATTATTATTTTTCTATTTTTCCAAGATGGCGGTCTTGACATCAATATTGCCTCCATTGGTGATGCCTATGGCCAGAGCTTTTCCTGGTCAGGAAAAATTCCTGGCCTTAGTGATGTGGAATCTAATCTATGCCTTCCAGTTCTGTGTGGTATTGAATGCAGTACAGTGGCTGACAAGGACCGATGTTAGAGCCACTCATAGAACTTTGATCAGTGTTCAGGAAACACCCACATAGACAGCTGAATATGAAAGAACCGTTACCCACTAGGCAGAGCACAGCTTTGCCTGGGTCTAAAACTTCCACTGTACATCTGTAGTGTGTACTGAATCATCCATCTTGAGCCACTTCTCTTCTTTAATCCTCTCTCTCTTGTTATTTCTCTCCACACATCCCTAATGTACTCTCCTTCATCCCTCCATCCTGTTGGAACTGAGAAAGGGGAAAAATGAGAAACAACAGAGTGAGAAACAAATTAAAATACAACATATTTCAATTCACAAGAGCCTCCCTCACCTGTTTAATCTCTCTCTCATCCCTAGTTTCTCACCTAGTGTCCCTGTTAGAAAGACAGGAGGGGCTGGTGACACACACAGGTTCTCTCTCTCTCACACACACACAACATTCATACTCAGAGAGACAATACTTACTGCTGCAGAGTGACTCAATTTGTCAAAACGGAACTTCAAGTTGGACCTAGGAGAGCTCTTATTCTTTAACTCTAGATTGAAAAGAGAAACAAAACAAGCATTTATAAACAAACCTTTCCTCTGATGTAATGACTAAGAAATAATTACGTTCAGTTAGAAAAGTATGATTATTAAAAGCACAGGAAGCTGTTGTCGTGGTTACCTGTGGGGCTGCGGCACATAATGACAGGGGTCCCTGAACTCTGACTTTCAACAGTGAGGGAGGGGCTGTGAACAGAGGGGAACACTGAGGGTGCCAGGGTGTTCTAGAGATACACATGGGGAGGGATGGAGAGATGGATAGGAGGGATAAAGTGAGAAATACACTATATAATATAATAATATAATATGCCATTTAGCAGACGCTTTTATCCAAAGCGACTTACAGTCATGCGTGCATACATTTTTCTTTTTTGTGTATGGGTGGTCCCGGGGATCGAACCCACTACCTTGGCGTTACAAGTGCCGTGCTCTACCAGCTGAGCTACAGAGGACCACACTACACACATTCTCATTGAAGCACGCACACACACACTCAAACAGGTGCCACTCACAGGGTCAGTGTCGGTGGCCTCTCTCTCTCCTGCTGCGCTGCTGAAGCTACTCGTGCTAGATGAGGAGCAGCAGACGTTAGTCCTGCTGGCACTGCACTCATTCAACTTTACACTGCTGGGCCTAGAAGGGGGGGGGGGGGGGGGGGGAGACGTTAGTCCTACTGCTCCCTTTTAACTTTACACTGCTGGGCCTAGAGGGGGGGGGGGGGGAGACGTTAGTCCTACTGCTCCCTTTTAACTTTACACTGCTGGGCCTAGAAGGGGGGGGGAGACGTTAGTCCTACTGCTCCCTTTTAACTTTACACTGCTGGGCCTAGAGAGAGGGAGAGGGGGAGGGAAATACATGCACACACACCTTTCCTTAGGGCAGGCCTCTGGAGAGCTGGGGTTAGAGAGGGTCTCTGACCTCACATCCTGCGTAGGGTGGCCAGTATCAAAGCTTCTCTGGTCACTATGGAGACTGTAAAGGACAAAAGCAGCACTATCATGTAGCTACATCTTTTTATCTGATTTTTTTTTTTTAACAGGGAGTCCCATTGAGACCAAGGTCTCTTTTGCTAGGGAGCCCTGCGTCGTACAATTACATAACAAATTCCACATAGGAAATACACCAGCAATACAAATACAAATGAAAAACACACTGATGAAAAATTATCCCATTCCTCAGCAAAGAGGTCCTCAATCGACACCCTGAAAGGCACCAATACATACATTACATCTATAGATGTGATCTACTGAAGTCTCTGTGTGTTTGTGTCCTACCTGCGATGATTGTGGTTATGTCTCTCTGTCTGGCTGTCTATACTGAGCAGGCGAGGGAAAAGACCAGAGCGACGTTTCACTGGAGACTTAACATTAGTCGCCTGAGAGAGAGAGGAGTAGGGAAGAAGTAGGGGAAAGAGACCAAGATGGGTGAGAAGTTGTAACGGCATTTTATCAATTATACGCCTCACTGTCCCCCTGTCCTCACCTTTTTAACCACCCCATCATCCCCACTCCCCCCTACTGTCTCTCCCACCTCCTCAAGCCTTCCCTCACCCCTCCCTCACATCAGAGCTGCTGTGGGGCAGAACCCCTCCACTCAGACTGGTGGGCATGCCACCTCCTCCACCCTTTGCCATCATCTCCATGGAGACACTCCTTCCTCGCATCGCCCTCTGGGGGAGAGAAAGAGAGAGAAAAGTGATTCTTGTTCACGCATTAATGAATGCCCTTTTGAGTTAAAATATGTGGAGGTAGGAGAGAGGGAAACATGAAATGAGAGAGAGAGTTGTGTGTGTGACCTTGATGGACTCCAGCAGTCCTCCGTGGCCGTGTCCGTTCTCTGCCCGCTCCTCCTCGGGGCCGACGCCCACTCCCAGCATGTGCTGGGTGTGTCTGTAAAGCTCGTCATGTAGACCGTCGAGCAGGGCCGCCCGCGTCCGCTCCTACACACACACACACACAAGTAATATAAACCCCATAAAATTCACTTCAATATGTTATACATTTGACCTGAGGTAAAATCTTGACCTTGTGGTCTTAGACTTGAGAGAGACCATTCAAGACAACATAAACACGGTTTTGGCTTGGGTCTGGGGTTGTCCTCCTAGGTTTAGGTGGGTCTGAGACTCCCTCTGTAGTACGCAATGTGCTTAACAGTATATAAAATATAACATTAAAATAACTATTATTTATTACCCACCTCCAGCCTGGCGAATCTGTCACTCTTGTAGCAGGCATTCTCTGCATTGATCAACTTGGTGAGCAGATACTCTCTGAACTCTGGACCCTGGAGGGAGGGACAGAGGGAGAGGCAGAGAGAGGCAGAGAGAGGCAGAGAGAGGCAGAGAGAGGCAGGAGAGAGGAAGAGAGCAGGGACAAGAAGAGAGAGAGAGAGAGGAGAGAGAAGAGCGAGAGAGAGAGAGGAGAGAGCAGAGCGAGAGAGAGAGAGAGGGAAGGAGCGACTGGACGAGAGAGAGAGAGAGAACAGACAAATTTAACAAATGGTCTCAAAGCCCAGAGCAATTATTCATTAATAGGTAAAAGCTGAAATCTATTTGAATTCTCTCAGAATAGACAGTGTTTCCTAAACCTCGTCAGGCTGCTCTCACCTTTTTAAACACTGCTGGACTGGGGAGGGGTGGGCCAAATGAAGGAACATCCTCTCGGGCAGTGACTGACACCTGTCAATCATAACCATAATGATCAGAGTTGTCGTCATCTGCGTGTGTATGTTAAGTTAGAGAAGGGGTAGACAACTAGATTCAGCCGCGGGCCGATTTTTGTCGGAGCAGATGGTCGGGGGGCCGGAACATAGTTATAATAATTTGTACAATGCAAATTGACCAAAACTAAGCCCAAAAATAAATTGTATTTCAAAATAACAATCATTTCATACCTTGATTACGATCACGTCTCTTTTTTTTATTCGTGGGAATATTTGGGAACAGTTTTGCTGAATTCCTGGTGATTTTACAGTGTTTTGTAACCCAAAACTAAACCCCCCCCCCCCAAAAAAAAACAACAACATGTTATTATACACTGCTCAAAAAAATAAAGGGAACACTTAAACAACACAATGTAACTCCAAGTGAATCACACTTCTGTGAAATCAAACTGTCCACTTAGGAAGCAACACTGATTGACAATAAATGTCACATGCTGTTGTGCAAATGGAATAGACAACAGGTGGAAATTATAGGCAATTAGCAAGACACCCCCAATAAAGGACTGGTTTTGCAGGTGGTGACCACAGACCACTTCTCAGTTCCTATGCTTCCTGGCTGATGTTTTGGTAACTTTTGAATGCTGCACTTTTGGTGCTTTCACTCTAGTGGTAGCATGAGACGGAGTCTACAACCCACACAAGTGGCTCAGGTAGTGCAGCTCATCCAGGATGGCACATCAATGCGAGCTGTGGCAAGAAGGTTTGCTGTGTCTGTCAGCGTAGTGTCCAGAGCATGGAGGGGCTACCAGGAGACAGGCCAGTACATCAGGAGACGTGGAGGAGGCCGTAGGAGGGCAACAACCCAGCAGCAGGACTGCTACCTCCGCCTTTGTGCAAGGAGGAGCAGGTGGAGCACTGCCAGAGCCCTGCAAAATGACCTCCAGCAGGCCACAAATGTGCATGTGTCTGCTCAAACGGTCAGAAACAGACTCCATGAGGGTGGTATGAGGGCCCGACGTCCACAGGTGGGGATTGTGCTTACAGCCCAACACCGTGCAGGACGTTTGGCATTTGCCAGAGAACACCAAGATTGCCAAATTCGCCACTGGCGCCCTGTGCTCTTCACAGATGAAAGCAGGGTCACACTGAGCACGTGACAGACGTGACAGAGTCTGGAGACGCCGTGGAGAACGTTCTGCTGCCTGCAACATCCTCCAGCATGACCGGTTTGGCGGTGGGTCATGGTGTGGGGTGGCATTTCTTTGGGGGGCCGCACAGCCCTCCGTGTGCTCGCCAGAGGTAGCCTGACTGCCATTAGGTACCGAGATGAGATCCTCAGACCCCTTGTGAGACCATATGCTGGTGCGGTTGGCCCTGGGTTCCTCCTAATGCAAGACAATGCTAGACCTCATGTGGCTGGAGTGTGTCAGCAGTTCCTGTAAGAGGAAGGCATTGATGCTATGGACTGGCCCGCCCGTTCCCCAGACCTGAATCCAATTGAGCACATCTGGGACATCATGTCTCGCTCCATGCTTTAGTCCAGGTCTGGGAGGAGATCCCTCAGGAGACCATCCGCCACCTCATCAGGAGCATGCCCAGGCGTTGTAGGGAGGTCATACAGGCACGTGGAGGCCACACACACTACTGAGCCTCATTTTGACTTGTTTTAAGGACATTACATCAAAGGTGGATCAGCCTGTAGTGTGGTTTTCCACTTTAATTTTGAGGGTGACTCCAAATCCAGACCTCCATGGGTTGATAAATTTGATTTCCATTGATAATTTTTGTGTGATTTTGTTGTCAGCACATTCAACTATGTAAAGAAAAAAGTATTTAATAAGATTATTTCATTCATTCAGATCTAGGATGTGTTATTTTAGTGTTCCCTTTATTTTTTTGAGCAGTGTATATACACTACCGTTCAAAAGTTTGGGGTCACTTAGAAATGTCCTTGTTTTCGAAAGAAAAGCAATTTTTTTGTCCATTAAAATAACATCAAATTGATCAGAAATACAGTGTAGACATTGTTAATGTTGTGAATGGCTATTGTAGCTAGAAACGGCTGATATTTTATGGAATATCTACATAGGTGTACAGAGGCCCATTATCAGCAACCATCAGTCCTGTGTTCCAATGGCACGTTGTGTTTGCTAATCCAAGTTTATCATTTTAAATGGCTAATTGATCATTAGAAAACCCTTTTGCAATTATGTTAGAACAGCTGAAAACTGTTGTGCTGATTAAAGAAGCTATAAAACTGGCCTTCTTGAGACTAGTTGAGTATCTGGAGCATCAGCAATTGTGGGTTCGATTACAGGCTCAAAATGGCCAGAAACAAATAACTTTCTTCTGAAACTCGTCAGTCTATTCTTGTTCTGAGAAATGAAGGCTATTCAATGCGAGAAATTACCAAGAAACTGAAGATCTCGTACAATGCTGTGTACTACTCCCTTCACAGAACAGCGCAAACTGGCTCTAACCAGAATAGAAAGAGGAGTGGGAGGCCCCGGTGCACAACTGAGCAAGAGGACAAATACATTTGAGTGTGTAGTTTGAGAAACAGACGCCTCACTGGTCCTCAACTGGCAGCTTCATTAAATAGTACCCACAAAACACCAGTCTCAATGTCAACAGTGAAGAGGCGACTCCGGGATGCTGACCTTCTAGGCAGAGTTGCAAAGAAAAAGCCATATCTCAGACTGGCCAATAAAAAGAAAAGGAGTCTGAGATATGGCTTTTTCTTTGCAACTCGAGCCTGTAAACGAACCCACAATTGCTGATGCTCCAGATACTCAACTAGTCTCAAGAAGGCCAGTTTTGTTGCTTCTTTAATCAGCACAACAGTTTTCAGCTGTGCTAACATAACTGCAAAAGGGTTTTCTAATGATCAATTAGCCTTTTAAAATGATAAACTTGCATTAGCAAACACAACGTGCCATTGGAACACAGGACTGATGGTTGCTGATAATGGGCCTCTGTACGCCTATGTAGATATTCCATTATAAATCAGCCGTTTCCAGCTACAATAGCCATTTACAACATTAATAATGTCTACACTGTATTTCTGATCAATTTGATGTTATTTTAATGGACAAAAAAATTGCTTTTCTTTCGAAAACAAGGACATTTCTAAGTGACCCCAAACTTTTGAACGGTAGTGTATGTTTTTAAATATATATTTTGGGGGTCCAAAAATATTACTTGCGGGCCAACCCTGGGTTAGAGTGTGTGTGTGTATGTTCAGTACCTTGTAGGTGGTGTGTTGGGTACAGGGGTTGTCCACCTGCACCAGTATGAAGGCGTGGAGGAAGTTTGAGGCAATCATGTCTGCTACGAAGGGTGTGGCCTCTTCCTGGAACACCACTCCTACGATGTCATTTCCTATGTGTCGCTTCCTCTGGAGCTGTGGGGGGCGGGGTTACTCTCATCAATTTCTATTTCATAAAAAGTTACAAACCAATGTTTTGGTAGCAAGCTACTACCTTTGTTAGGGTTCTCTTTCAAATACTTGTTTTGATGTATCACGTGGGGGTTACTCGCCTACTCTCTCTGAAGTTTTATTAAAAGCGTCTGTTGGAGACATGTGACCCGCACTTCCATAAAAGGAGCCACTCTCCCGCCCTCTGGTTATTCTCACTTCTCTTCCTCACGAAGAGTGTCACTCAGTACTCTAGCTCTCTAGACCTACACTCTCCTGGATACCTGTTTGCCTGCTTAATCTGCTCAGATGCGAACCTTGAAGGATATCGCTGCCGAGCGTAGGTCTTCAGACCCTGTCGAGAGGGCTGACATGTCTTTTTGTGTTAGATACTACGCTGTGTACAGACCCCCCGCGCACTCAAAGTGTTCTGACAGTATAACATTTTAAAATCAAATTGCGGGGAAAACACAACTCTCCTGTTGTCACAGATGGAGAGAAGATGTTCTCAGCTTTCTGTTGGTATACTTTTTATTTCTCAACTAAAAATGCTGAGCTCAATAGCAACTATTTTACAGACAAGATATTTGATATGGCTTTGAGATACAGAGCGCACAAAATGCTCATTGGTCATTACGAGTGCATAGGACTCATAGGGCGGTAGGCAATCATTTTTTTACATTAAATGTTCTGTTAGATTAAAACAATTCCATATGTTAGAGTGATGGAGATTTTTTTGGGGGGTGTGACCAAATCATGGGCTGGTGCCACCAACTGAAAAACGTTGTCTGAAAATGTTAGTCTGGAGCCTGCTACAAGGGGAATGTCCTCCGTATTGACAAGTTTTTATTTTGTAATGGACAAAGATGATAAGAACGTTGACGCGGCCAAATGCAGGCTACTGTGCAACTCGCTATTCAGGTAGGAAACATTGGAACTTTAATGTTTTTATTGTTAATATTTTTAAATAATTTGATTTATTATTATTATTATTGTATATCTTTGTTATTATTGTATGCCTATTTATTAATCTAATTCATCTAGTTATTTAAATATGCTAAATGTGTTTTGTTTCATTCTGTTGAGACATTTTTGTTGGCTAAATTAAGTTTGATCGGTCTTTTTAATTGTGCTCCATATTTAGATTAAGATTATAAGTAGGGGAGACCAGGTTCTAACATAGGATAGTTGTAACACTCAATATTTTCAATCAGGAACAAGCTAGAATCATGATTTTGAGGTAAGAAAGAAAATGTTTTGACCAAATTCGTTTTTGTGATGGCATCATCTGCTTTGTAGTTATATTCACTAAACTTATGAGGTTTATAACAAGTGTGTGTAGATATACACTGAGTATTTTTAAAAATGAAGAACACCTGCTCTTTCCATGACATAGACTGACCAGGTGAATACAGGTGAAAGCTATGAACCCTTATTGATGTCACTTGCTAAATCCATTCAATCAGTATAGATGAAGGGGAGGAAACAGGTTAAAGAAGGATTTTTAAGCTTTGAGACAATTGAGACATGGATTGTTTGTGTGCCATTCAGAGGGTGAATGGGCAAAACAAAATATTTAAGTGCCTTTAAACAGGGTATGGTAGTAGGTGCCAGGTGCACCGGTTTGTGTCAAGAACTGCAACGCTGCTGGGCTTTTCATGCTCAACAGTTTCCCGTGTGTATCAAGAATGGTCCACCACCCAAAGAACATCCAGCCAACTTTACACAACTGTGGGAAGCATTAGCGTCAACATGGGCCAGCATCCCTGTGGAACGCTTTCAACACCTTGTAGAATCCATGCCCCAACGAATTGAGGCTGTTATGATGGCAAAAGGGGGGGTTTTGGGGGGCAAATCAATTTAGGAAGGGGTTTTATGTTTTTTACATTTAGTGTATTTTGTAAATTGCAAAGCCAAATTTTTAACATTTTTAAATTGAAGCTATTAAAACAAAAATGGGTGGGGGTTAAGAGAAAAAAAATTTT